TAACGGTTTTAGACCCTAGGTCTCTTTGGACCAAATCCGTATCAGGACATTTGGGGTCGATCTAGGGGTGGGCTACTTGGCTAGTGCTCACAATAACCTTCAAAGAGAGTATTCGGTTTGATCCAAACTTGGTACATCGTTATATTATTGTCACACTTAAATCGAGTTCGGAGATGGGGAAAATCCTTCTGGTACCTGCCCCACAAAAGGTTAAAATTTTCATAAAAATAATTAACGGTATAGAAGAAGAAAGGACCTTCCGATTTTGCTCAAACTTTGCATAAAGATTATCGGTCCACTCCAACATGTGTATCCCCCATAAAGTGGGATGATCACCAGAAAATCAATATGGCTTTGCAAATCCAAATATTTGCTTCAGTGCTAGGCCAGTTGAGAAAACGGAAAATATCGGTCCACTCCATCAAATACCTCAGAATCGATATGGCTTTGCAAATCCAAATATTTGCATCAGTGCTAGGTCTGGTGAGAAAACGGAAAATATCGGTTCACTCCATCAAATACCTCCCTTACAAAGGGCCAGCATTTTGAATAATTATAGCTCTTATAAAATGTGATGTAGGATTCCAATTGTCTTCAAATTACACATATCACAATACTTTTATTAACCCAAGGTCGGGGGTGAAGATGGGATACATCGGGTACGTACACCAAAAAGGGTCACAATTTTGAATAACCGTGAAGCTAATAAAACGCGAAATTAACATTCCTATTCCATTCAGACTTGGTACATCTCAATATTTCCATCTACATAAGATCTGTTATAAATATGGTAGAGATCGGACTATTTCTTTTGGTATCTCCCCCACATAGGGTTCCATATTTTAAAAGACAAAACGCTCAATGAAAGTGAAATAAGTATTCAACTATCTTCAAATTTCACACATACAAACATTTTTGCTAACAAAAGATCTGTTGTGAAAATGATATATTTCTGCGAACACATTCTGGTACCTCACCCACAAAGGATTTATTGGTTATAACCTTGGTATTAATATTAAATAAAACCTAATGAACCCATCCTAAAAAATAAGTAATGTCGATTCCGCCTCATCGTTTGTTGTGTAGGGTATGCGACAACACAAGGAAATAGTTTATTTTAAAAACGAAGGACTTCGACTAAGGGTAATGACCAATTGTTTTAAGTTCTCTGTTCAAATGAATGTGTTTAGGTGTGGAAATTGTCACACCTTCTGTTGTTTGGATTTACATGTAAACAATAGAATATATTAGGTCGTATGATCGTATTGATATAAACATATATTTGTGGGAATTTAAATTCAGAAGGAAAAATCATATTTAGAAAACTTCTTAAACTTCAAAAGTTTTATTTGAAAAAAGTCTTAATAGAATTTTGGTAATTTTGAGAATTTATATACCCTACACCACCTAGTGGTAAGGGAATTATGTGTTTGAGCATTTGTTTGGTAACATGGAGAAGGAAACGAGATAGACCCATAGTTACTCTTGAGGAACTTCATAAAATCACTTTCTGATTCGATTTTTGCCTGTCAGTCCGCCCGTTCGTCTGTCCATGTAATTTGTGAAGAAAATGAAGGTCGCTTTTATTATTCAATAGAGATGAAATTTTCCACACAATATTTGTTTGCCCAAGGAGGAACCCTTTTGGAATTAATGAGAATCAGTTCAAATTTAGATCCCATTTATATTTTCAACCGATTACGGGTTAATTGTGCCCCAAAGGACCAGTATCAGTCCAAATGTCATGAATTTTTGCACATCCGACCGAATTCAGTCTAAAAGAAAGTACGTCAATTTTAAAGAAAATCGTTTCAGATATAGTTATATCTCCAATATATATGTTTCCTTCGATCTGGGGGTTTAAGTCCCATACACGCGTAATATACACTCCACAAGAATGATATTTAGTACCAGATAATTTATGGAGCTCAAAAATGCCTATGCCAAATTTTATCGAGATCGGATCAGATTAGATATAGTTCCCATATGTATATTCAGGTTTATTGTGCACCAAACCGCTTATATCAGCCCAAATTGACTGAATCTTGAAAATTCCGACTGTATTCATCCTAGAAACAAGTACTTCAAATTTAGTCAAAATCGGTTCAGATTTAGCTATAGCTCTCATATACAGGGTGAGATAAAAAAACTGCAACAAAGCCAAACGCCATAATTTTTAGATTTTCTTTTTTTAAATTTTATTGAATGAAAGTAAAAAATGTCGGAAACAGCATCAAATTTTAGAATAAGTTTAGATTTGTTCGAATTGGTCACCCTTGGTACGAATAATGGCCTTCAAACGGCCAATAAAACCGTCACACGCTGCCCAAATGTTGCTCTGTGGTATTTTGGCCCATTCCCAGCGAAGCGCATGCTTGAGGTGATCGACACTTTGGTATTTTTTAGTGCCAACTTTGCTTTTCAAAATACTCCAGACACAATAGTCCAACGGATTGGTATCCGGAGATTTTGGTGGCCATTGTTTGCTGGAAATGAAGCGTGGAACCTCATTTTGTAACCATTCTTGGTTGGCGCGTGCTGACTGCGATGGTGCTGAGTCCTGTTGGAATGTCCAAGGTCTGCGCCCAAAATATTTGCGTGCGCAAGGCTTTAATATACCCTCCAGAATATTTTCGCGATAAAATTCGGTATTTATTCTAATGCCACGGTCGATTAATACAAACGGAAAGCGACCATCGGCTGTTATGGTGGCCCACACCATCACCATGACCAGCGCTTGAGTTTTGGTGGCCAACCGAAGGTGCACATTTTCAGCTGACCTCTTTGGCAAGTAAACACGATTATTTTGTTTGCTTACAAACCAAATTCAGCAGTTCACCACTCTCGGCCAAGCGAAGCAACTCTTTAGCTCTTTTGAGTCTATTTTCTTTCTGTTGCGGTGCAATTTTTCGCACTTTTTGGAATTTTAATGGCGTAATATGCAATCCACAACAATGATATTTGATCTGGACATCAGATACTGCTCGGTTCAAATTTTTATATAGCTTCGATATACATCTTCATCCGATTTTATGGTTTCTGCTCACCCTATATATGATATCAGCCCAAATTAAATATATTTATTCATATTCAAACGAATTTTACCATTTGGTGAAACTCGGTCCGGTACATCTATTGCTCCAATACAGGGTTACCCATATTCGACGGACCTTTGGGCCCATTCCAATCGACGAGGCTTGTCCGCAGGCAACATTCTTTGCGCCAATTGAATCCGTTGTAAAGTGGACCGAGCCATGCCCAACTGCTGAGAACGGCATTTTTGGGATGTTCTTGGGGACCTCTCAACACTGGCTCGTACGGCAGCGATATTCTCGGCCGATCGCCTTAGTCGTCTTTTATATGGCCTCTTCGGATTAGAAAGAGCCTTACCAGTCGAAAATTGTTCATATAAACGCTTAATGGTGTTCTTAGAAGGCGCACTTCTCACATTTTTTAATGTTTTGAAAGCACGTTGAGTTTTCACAATTGACTTCTTCTGTTGAATGTAAATTTCAACTATTTCAGAGCGCTCGCGTGGCGTGTATTGGTTCATGGTAAAAATCTGCTTGGTCTGACGCTTCAAAGGCGGTATGTCATTAAGCGATGTGACATCTCTGTCAAAAGTTATGGCGTTGCCAGATGGGTCCGTCGAATATGGGCAACCCTGTAAATATTTTTATACCCTCCACCTTGGAATGGAGGGTATAGTAACTTTGTCATTCCGTTTGTAACATCCTTAAATATTCGTCGTAGACCCCATAAAGTATATATATTCATAGTCAGCATAAAATTCTAAGTCAATTTAACGATGTCCGTCTGTCTGTTGAAATCACGATACAGCCCACATTATTTGACGTAGAGCTCAAAATTTAGCAGAGTACTTTACATTTTGTCTAGGATGGTTGGTATTGAAAATGAGATATATCGGTCCACGTTCTGGTATAGTCCCCATATAACGGTACCTCCCTTTAGCCTAAGGTGTAGGGTATTAAAAGTTTGGCCCGGCCGAACATAATGTTTTTTTTTACTTGTTTAATATAACCCTTATCGAAGTCATATCAAGCACTATGCAGCAATTTTATTTGGATCATAGTTGGTAATGATCTACTTCGCATAAATTGCCAATATTTTTTTTTGTTAACTGAGATCTACTAAATACGGATATTGGTGCAGGGTATCATATAGTCGGCGACGCCCGACTTTTAATTTTCCCTTACTGGTTTTTGACTGATTTCGTTTTTTTAGAACTTGAAACATTCTGTTAAAAAATTTGAAAAATATTTTTGGATATCATTAATTTGAAATACCGACACTTTGTTCTCTAAGGGTTATTTGCCATTTCTCAAAAAAAAAAATAAAATTAAAAATCATTAAAATATAAAAGTCCTTCGATACAGCCTATGTTCGATTTTTCCCTTTTTCCATACCATAATTGATTTTTGTTGTTGTGGGAAATCACCAATATGCACTTATAGGATAGTTGAAAACAACTACAAAGAGCCACCAGCTAACAAAGCGCCAAAGGGGTTGGTTGGATGGCTGGCTGGCTGGCTGACTGACTGTGTTTCCTAAATTATCATTATTTTTCCCGGGCATTTGGGGGTAAAAGCACTGCCGACATGCAAATGCAGCCAACAGTTTTCTTTCAGCTTTGTTTGGGTAAAGGACGACGGAAAAATTTAAAACAAACCGGTGTAGATACAGATTTTCGGTTAAGTGTATTAAAAAAATTTGTTGTTTTTTTAGTATAGGCTGAGAAAACTAGCCCGGCCGGTAGCAAAAGCAAACGACAACAAACACACTAATGGTTTTACCATTTCTAACCGATCAATATTTTACCAATAAACGTAAAATGTTAGAAATCTACAACAATTATCCTCTGTACAATTTAGTTCCGGCCAACTATTTTAAATGGGTAAAAAAAATAATAAAAATTAAAATAATTTTTCTACCATTTCATGAAATTTTGAAATAATAAAATGTGAAATTTTCTTTTGCAGGACGACAATACCGGTTATAATTTCCATCATGTTTTCGCCTCAAATCCATACAATTATGGTTTATCCTCAAAGAAATCGAATGGTAAGTAGAATATTTATGTTTTATGATTTTTTGGCGATATCTTCCAAATTCTTAATTTGCATCGATGTTTATTGGTTTGTTTGTTTATTTATGTTTTTTTTTTTTTTATTTGTTGTTGTTTGTCTGCTTTCCTTGTTGACCTAACAACCAATGCCATGAACCTTAAAAACGATAACATTCCATAACATTCGTATGTATGTATGTGAGTAATAGCAATCAATGTAATGGGGTGGGTCAGGAGGAGAGAATTTTAAATTTTTCCCAATCTTGATTTCACGTCAATTATTGATTGTCAATTTAAAGCCACCAACAACTGAGTGACAGTTAATTTAAATTTCTGATAAGCGAATAAAAAACAAGAAACTTGCTACTAGGGTCAAAGTTCAAGAATTTAACATTCTACACCCTTAAAATTTTAATAAATCTGAGCTATTGACAATAAGAAGGCAACCAATTTTAAAGATGTGAGAGAGATAAAGGGAAATGATAACCCTCATTTTTTTCTGGGACAAAGATTGTACAAAGGAGAAGAAAAATCAATAACAAATATCAGAAATAAACAAGTTCTTAAAATGCAGGATATACCAAAACGTGGACCTGCACTGACTTTTTTCTGTCATAGGCAAAGTTGAAACAATTCTGGTTAATAATGTTGCTAAAATTATCAAAATTCCGAATATAGGAGGGTACCATTATATGGAGGATAAAGCAAAACGCGGACCTGCACAGACAATTTTCTGTCATAGGCAAATTTGAAACAATTCCGGTTAATAATGTCGCTAAAATGATCAAAATACCCATACCGTTATATGGGGGCTACACGAAGACGTAGATCTGCACAGTATCCATTCGAACTTCAAATACCAAATTTGAAACAATTCCGGTGAATAATGTCGCTAAAATCATCAAAATACTCTTCCAAGGAGTAAAGTACTCAGAAGGAACTACCGTTATATAGGTCCTATACGATATTGTGAACAGATGCAGCCCCTCCTTGCTCTTGACCTGCCTTTAGACCAAGGACTTATCTGTGCAAAATTTTAGCTTTCTATCTTAACGCTTTTCTATCGTGATAGAGCTAAATCACCTTAGAATTTAACGCTGATCAAGAATACAGGGTGAGATAAAAAAACTGCAACAAAGTCAAACGCCATAATTTTTACATTTTTTTATATTTTATTCAAATAGCATCAATTTTAGAATAAGTTTAGATTTAATCGAATTGGTCAACTCTGCCAGGAATTATGGCCTTCAAACGGCTAATGAAACCGTCATACGCTGCCCGAAAGTTGCTCTGCGGTATTTTGGCCCATTCCCGGCGAAGCGCTTGCTTGAGCTGATCGACACTTCAGTATTTTTTAGTGCCAACATTGCTCTTCAAAATACTCCAGACACAACAGTCCAGCGGATTGGTATCCGAGATTTTGGTGGCCATTGTGCACTGGAAATGAAGCCAGTAACCTCATTTTGTAACCATTCTTGGGTGCTGCGTGCTGAGTGCGATGGTGCTGAGTCCTGTTGGAATGTCCAAGGTCTGCGGCCAAAATGTTTGCTTGCCCAAGGCTTTAATACACCCTCCAGAATATGTTCGCGATAATATTCGGCATCTATTCTGATGCCACGGTCTATTAATACGAAGCGGAGAGCGACAATCGGCTGTTATGGCGGCCCACACCATCACCATGGCTGGCGCTTGAGTTATGTTGGCCTACCAAAGGTGCACATTTTCAACTGACTTCTTTGGCAAGTTAACACGATCATTTTGTTTTTTGACAAACTGCTGGACAGCATTCAACGAATGTTTTTTCATCGGAGAAAACCAAATTCGGCAATTCACCACTCTCGGCCATGCTCTTTAGCTCTTTAGCTCTTTTGAGTCTATTTTCCTTCTTGCACTTTTTGGAATTTCAATGGCTGTACCCCGAGCTCATTTTTCAATATTTTGCCGAATGGAATATTGCGATATGTTCAGCTCACGAGCCATTTTTCGGCCACTGCGACGCGGGTTTCGATCAAGTCGCTTCTTTACTTTTCGAATCATTTCTGCTGCATTTCTGCGGCTACGCTATTAGTATCACGGTAACGAGCGATGGTACGAGACACAAAAATGTATTCACATTTAAATGCTGGAGTGCTCCATCGATAGCCACTTGTGATTTTCCAGCCAAATATAAAGAAATCACACTATCACGCTTGAATTCCATCACGAATAACTTTTTTTGTGGAAAATTCTCACCAAAATGCTTTTGTACGCTTTTAAACAATATAATGAGCTGTCACTGGAACAATTTTAACAGCTGTCGGACGAGTGGCTTAGAAATGACAGCAGTCTGAAGTCGGTTGCAGTTTTTTCATCTCACCCTATATAGTGCATAATATGACTTCGATGAATTTTACATTAAAAATATTTATTGGAACAATAGATATACCGGATCGAGCTCCACCAAATAGTAAAATTCGGTTGAATATGAAAAAATCTCTTCAATTTGGGCTGATATTACATATATGAAACGTAAAATCGGATGAAGATGTGTATCGAATCTATATAAAAATCTGAACCGATCTTGATAACATTTGACAGAAGTATTTTCCAGCAGTATTTTTTCCAATAATTAGAGTACACATTTCCAAAACTACCCCCATATCTCAATTCCCGATGCTAACAGAGGCCTCAATATCAAATTTGAGGAGTTTAGCTTTATTCCTTCACACAACCAATTTAGTACCACTACGTTATTTTCGTACAATTATAGTACACATTTCCAAAACCACGCCAAAACTCAAACATTGATAACATCAAATTTCAGAACTGTATACCTATCCATTCGCCCAATACCAAATAAAGTACCATTCGATGCTATTCGTTCAATTATAGTACATACAGTCCAGGTTACGCACGAATAGCGACCCCAATACCAAATTTCAAATATCAAGCTTTATCTGTTTAGTCCTATTTAGTCCTTTTCGTGCACTGTTTGTGCACCATTTAGTACAGTTCGCACACTTAGTACACATTTCCATAACCATCTTCGTATATTATACTTACTTTCCAACCTTGATTCTCATACCGAATTTCAATTTTTTGCTCTGACTATTCACATTATACCAAATGGTACCATTTTAGAAGTTTTGTACCAGTTTTGTTTAGTACTTTTCGTAACCTTATTGTTCGAATCTCCAAAAAGCTTTTGGTACATCTACCTTACACTCCATCAGTGACCCTTATTTCAAATTTCAATTCTAACCCAGTCCGTTAATCCCATACAAAATATTCAATTTTTAGTACATTTTAGTACTCTTCGTACACTTTTAGTAGGAATTTCCCCAAACTAAGGCCCATTACACGGCTGAGAATTTCTGAAGCCTAGTTTCCTATTAAGCATTCTTTAAAACTTCCTTAAGCAGACCAGAATTCGTGAATGTTGAAAGAAATGGAGACTTTCTGTTGCCCCAAAATTGGAGATTTTTGTAGATTTATTGAAGGCTCTACACATACGCAAATTCTTGAATGTTTTAAATAATCTTTATAGACCCTCCAAAATCCAAATTTGTGGAATTTTAAAGAATTGAATCTATATTTAATTGATTTTCCAAAAATATTTAAAGTCCAATAGTTTATGATATTCTTTTTTTTTTTTTTTTTTTGGATTTTTAAAGTCTCCCTGAAATCCAGAACTCATTAATTTTTAAAGAATTAATGATGTCTTTCTGAGGTTCAAAATTCGTAGATTTTTTAAAACATTCCCAAATAAGAAGGCCTATCACTCACCTGACCCCCCTGTACATTTTTATGAATTTATTGAATTCCTGACATATAGGTAAGATTTCAATGTTTGATGTATTGTACGACCGATACGATTTGTAGAATTATTTAATTTATTTGAAAAAGAACCCAAAGACCCCTTTAGTGACTCCATTGAGAGTTACAATTTCAAAATCAAAATAATCCTCGTATTGCTATCAGTAATGCTGCCGAAGACAATATACCATTAATTCGAGGATATCAAGAAATCGTAATCGCAAATTTTCAAAAAAATTAGGAAGAGGGTGAAAATTGCCTCCTATATTGCCGTCTATGTTTAGCTTTGTTTCATAATCAGCTTCATAGTGCTCCAGTAATTATTTTTCGTGTTGCACATGTCTGCGCTCCTCATATTCCGGTTTCAATTTCTTATTTTATATTTCCCTGTTTTTATACGCACAAGTTTGCAATCCTTACTCACGTATTTATATGACCCTGAAAACTATTTATTTTTAATTAACCACAATTGTTTCCCTAGGCACTTTCCTGTGTGTGTGTGTGTGCCATCTTCTCATTTTAATTATCTACCATTGATTATTGATACATCAATCAATTCTAATCAAAGTAAATCAAATCAATTTTCCTTTCAGTCGACTATCCTGTCTACACCACACGACGCATTATACCCAACTCCTGCTCGGATTCTTCTGTCGATGGAAGAAGTTCCGATAGCAACTATACGAGTAGTGGTGGTAGTGTTGTGAGTAACGATGTGCCGGGTAAGGGAGGTGGTGGTGGCGGAGGCATAGGTGGTGGCGGTGGCGTTGGTGCAACTGTTGCCGGTGGCAGCGATGGTATAAGTGGTCGATTTACCAGACAAACCATAAATTCAAGGTAAGACCTGTCACAAACATTTATGGCGTACTAGCCAAAGCCGAGATGAATGATAATAAACTCGTGTCGGAATGAAATGATAATGCAATTAGATTTTCCACGGAAAGACAAGTGGAGATTTGAAATGAAGGAATGTGGCGGGGGTGGAGGATACTTAAAATGTTAAAGGGGCATTTTTAGGGGTTGACTTTTTAATTTTATTGACTAATTTAGAATTTTAGAATGTAGTTTTTTTGAGCCAGTTTTGAACTCTAAGAGAAAAATATTTCAAAAATGAATGAATAAGTAATTAAATTAAATAAATAAATTATTTAATAAACATATATAAATAAGTAAATACATAAATAATAAAAAAATCAATAAATAAATTTATATTTAGCCTTGGTAGATCGAGTAACATGACCTATGTCAGAAGCTGAAGAATATAATTTTTAGGCAAAATACAGGAAATCGTTTGGAAATCGTAAAAATTAAGAAGAAACAAGACTTTCAAAGGACTCTAAAGACACAGGACTTTCAGAAAGAGACTCATTTAGAAGATCTTCTACAAGCAGCAGAAATTTTAAAGGTCTTCTATGGATGGAGGAGTTTTAATCAACTTGTTAAGACTGAAGCCAAGGCACATGGATATGATGAGAATTTCTGAAGTGCATTATTGGTGGATTTATTAAGTATTTTTTAAAACTTAGACAAGTCAAAATTAACGAATTTTAAAGAAATTAACTGAATATTTAAAAAAATCGGAAATTCGATTTCGTGAATTTTTAACGACTTTTTGAAGACGTCGCGCAGCAAATTGGGGAATTTGTTAAAGTAGTTTTAAACGCGGCCTTGGAACACTAATTCATGCATTTATGAAACTCTCAACAGATAAAAATTCGTGGATTTAAAGAAACGGGGAATCTGTAACCTTAAAATTGAAAATTTTTTAAAAAATTTTCAGACTCTTCACTGAGTCTTCATCGAGAGTTTCATCGATTCTTTGAAGAATTTGTGAAGCCCCAAATTCATGGTTTAAGGACAATTTTTGAATACTCTCTGGAGACCAAAATTCCATGGATTTAAAAAAGAAAACAAATTGGAGACTCTTAGAAAGACTAATTTTGATGAATATACCCTAGATTTTTTAAGGATTTTTAGAGACTTTTCCTAACCCCACATTTGTGGATTTACAATAAAAAAAATGAAGAATCTTTACTACCCCAAATTCGTGGATTTTCAAAAGAAGTCCTTCCAAAACCCAAATTTGTGGAATTTTATAGAATTGAATCCAAATTTAATTTATATTCCAACATTATTTAAAGTCCAATATTTTATGATATTTTTTGTAGGATTTTTAAAGATTCCCTAAAGTTTAGAATTCTTGAATTTTTTAAGAATTAATTACGACTTTAAAGAATTTCTGAAGACTTTATAAAGTTCAGATTCCGTGAATTTTTTAATGAGGATTTCACAAAATCCAGAATTCGTGGATTTTCTAAAGAATTTTTAAAGTCTACCTAGAGTTCAGAATTCGTGCATTTTTGAAAGAATTTTTAAAGTCTCCCTGATGTTTAGAATGCGTGGGTTTTTCTAAGAATTTTTAAAGTTTTCTGAAGTTCAGAATTCGTGGATTTTTGAAGAATTTTTAAAGTTTCCTTGAAGTTCAGAATTCGTGGATTTTTAACGAGTTTCTAAAGTCCCCTGAAGTTCAGAATTAGTATATTTTTAAGAATTTTTAAAGTCCCCTGAAGTTTAGAATTCATGGATTTTTGAAAGAATTTCATAAGACTCCCTAAGGTCTAGAATTTGTAGATATTTTAAATATATTTTTAAAACTCCCTAGGAATTCCGGAATTCGTAGACTTTTTAAAGAACATTTTAAGGCTCCCTAAAGTTCAGAATTCGTGGATTCTTTAAAAAAAATATTAGGAGCCTTAAGATTCAGAATTCGTGGATTTTTAAAGAATTTCTTAAGACTCCCTAATGTCCAGAATTCGTAGATTTTTTAAATATTTTTTTTACTCCCTAGGGTCCAGAATTTGTGAATTTTTAAAGAATTTCTTAAGGCACCCTAAGATCCAAAATTCGTGCATTTTTTAAAGAGCTTTTTAAGAAACCTTAAGGTCTAGGATTCGTAGAGTTTTTTAAAGAATTTTTTAAGGAACCAAAATGTCCAGAATTTGTGGATTTTTTAAATTGTTAAGTCACATATTCGTGGATTTTTTTACGAAATTTTTAAGATACCCTAATATCCAAAATTTGTGGATTTTTAAAGAACTATTTAAGATACCCTAAAATCCAGAATTTGTTGATTTTTAAAGAATTTTCTAAGATACCCTAAGGTCCAAAATTTGTGAATATTTTTAAAAAATTGTTTAAAAAAGGACTTTTTAAGACTAAACGTTAAGAATTCGTGGATTTTTTACAGATTTTTTAAGAAACCTTAGGGTTCAGATTTGTGGGTTTTTTAAAGAATTTTGGAGGTTCCTAATTTGTGGATTTGTTTAAGCTTTTCAAAAAAATTGTTTTATGATATCTGGGAGCCCAAATTTTTTCAAAGATTTTTGGAAGACCCATCATACGCAAAATTTGTGGAGTTTGTAGCGATAATTTTCATAACTCCCTGAAGACAATATCCTCTATTCTTTTGAAGAAATTTTGTAGACTATCAGAAGAAAAACTCCCCTATGGACAGAATTTGTAGATTTGTATATAATTTTTGGAAATATTGGTTTCCTTATTTTTGAAACGATTTAACGATTTCCTTATTTCTTAAGGAATTTCTAAATCATATCTAAAGATAAAACTTTTGAGGTTTCTTTTGCAATGCCTTAAGAAGCACTTCTACCAAAAGGTATGGTATTCCCTTCATAATATCCAAGATAGACAGAATACTCTCAAGAACTTCTACATAGAGAATACATTTAGAATGTATTATTTGAATTAAAATTAATAAAAAATCTTATCCTTACAGATTCCCCGCTATGGACATGAATGGTACATATCGTGTACATAAGCCGCCCACATATTACCCCGGAATGGGAGCATATGCTCATTTGCAGCAGCAACAATACAACATGAATGCCACCTATCCCAAAGTGAATTATAATTTAAATGGCCATCACTATCAGACGGCGACGAGAAGAAAATCGCAGCACAACAATTTCCCAATGCATCCTCATCAACAACAACAGCAGCAACAACAATCCCCGCCCTATTATTATATCAACAATAATATTAATCGAGCACAACATTTTAATCATCACAATAACCAGCAAAAGAACAACAACTTTAACAACAACGGTAGCAGCAGCAACAACAACAACACTAACAATTGTGGAAATCAAGGTTTTTATATGCAAAAACAAGCCCTTAAAACTTTTTAAAGTTCTTTCGTAAATTAACCGATTCTTTCTTTTCCCCTCTCCTACCACTTTTAGAGACTTTCAAAAAGCTTGAAAATCTTCAAACCAAGGATTCCAACAATTGCAATGACAATCTCGATGGCACCTATACCATATGCATGGGTTCCAAACTTAGTGCCACCCTACACCAACAACATCAACAAATGACTGCAGCAGCAACAGCAGCGGCGGCTAATGGTCGTCGTTTCGTCAATGTCGACAAAATTCTAACCGCCAGGTATGTAACCAACAACAAACCAATGATAAGTTTAGATTTTAATGGACAAAGTTTTAAACATTATTGTCGGTCCGACGTTCTTCTCAGCGAGTTGAATTGTATGTTTGAGATACTTAAAAAGTCTAATAGCTCGTCAAAACCCACAAGTATGAAGTTCAGGGAATAGCAAATTTCATTGTTGTTGGGAAAGGAGAGAAAAGTTTGCAAATTTTTGCATTGTTTTAATTTGTTTCTTTCTTGCAACCCCTTAATTGTGGGGCGTAGTTTGTTGAACTTTAACTTGTTGAGTTGGCAGATATATCTTCGGAATGAAACCACAAAAGAACAATTACTTAAGTAGCAAAAAAGGCATATTAGTTATATAATATGATGTAAAGAGGCAGTCTTTAAAATTACAAGTCAAAGACACTGTAACTGGGAACAAATTAGTGAGAAAAGAGGAAGGCGGGTGCTGAGTGAGGCTTAATTTATCTAACGATAGAGAAATATTAGACAACGTAGTGGCTACAACTTTTTGCTGATTGGAGTATAAGTATTCATCTCCATTTGGACGTCATGGATGTTATAGTGTCTGGAACAAGTGGATTTTTATACCTTCCACCATGGAAAGATACCCTAATTTGTCTTTCTGTTTGTAAAACCTCGACATATTCGACGGAGTCTCATAAAGTACATACATTTATTATCAGCATAAAATTATAGATTGATTTAGCTATGTGCGTTTATCTGTCTGTATGTCTACTGAAATCAAAATTATTTGACGCATTGATTTGAAATTTGGTACAATTGTTAGGTTACTATTGAAAATGAGGTATTTCGGGCTATGGTTTCGTATAGGCCCCATATAACTCTACAGGGTGAGATACAAAAACTGTAACAAAGTCAAACGCCATAATTTTTACATTTTTTTTTTTTTTTATTTTATTAAATAAAAGCAAAAAATGTCGGAAACACCATCAAATTTTAGAATAAGTTTAGATTTGTTCAAATTAGTCACCTTTGGCACGAATTATGGCCTTCCGGCTAATGAAACCGTCACACGCTGCCCGAATGTTGTTTCGCGGTATTTTGGCCCATTGTAACCATTCTTGGCGCGTACTGAGTGCGATGGTGCTGAGTCCTGTTGGATTGTACAAGTTCTGAGGCCAAAATGTTTTTTACAGAATTATTGAAGTAATCAGTAGTTTACACCATTTTTAAAACTCCCTGAAGTCCAGATCTAGAGAATATATGACTGTATATTTGAGGAGCTCCTATGACAATTTTTCAATTCCTTTTTAATCAGAATTCTTAGACTTAAAAAGAAATTAAAGAAATCGTGGACTTTGTTAAGAATTCTTATATATTAAATTTTTGAGAAATTTTGAAGTGTCCCTAATGTTCAAAATTCGTAAAGTGTTTGGGAAACCTATGGATTTTCAAGAGTTTGTTGATTTTTTCAAAAATTTTTTAAGACTGTCCAAAAATCAAAATTCGAACATTTTTTACAAAACTAAGGAATACTACTTCAAACCAGAATTTCTGGATTTTTTTACAACATGTTTGAAAACCTCTATATTCCATAATTGATAAATTTTTAAAGTTCCAAAGTCCAGAGTTGGTGTTTTCCAGAATTTTTGAAGACCCTGTGTTTTATGTATTAAATAATAGATTTTGTAAACATTTAAAAAAATCGAATACTTCTCCTTAAGTGTCCCTTAGATTCAGAATTAGTAAGGGTTTTTAAAAATTTGTCCTATTTTCTTCACAACGGCCCTTGTAAGCCATCATCCACATCAAATATGCCTGATGAGCCGCTTAACCAACGGCGAAACGCGTCGCATAGTGGTGAGTGTGTGATAGTGTCTATCTGGCTTTCCTTTTCACTGCAAATTTCAGATCATTAAGCTCGTCTCGAAAGAGAAAACAAACACTTAAGAAATGTTTTTTTTTTTTTTTTTGGAGATCAAAATTCATAATTCATTGATTTTTTACAGAATTATTGAATACTCCCTCAAATACGAATTCGTGGAATTTTATATATTTTTTGAACTGTCCACAATTCGAACATTTTTTTAAATAATTTTTAATTACTCTTTTCAACCAAAATTTGTGGAATTACAACAAAATGGTGGAATATTCTTTCAAGCCAGAATGCTTGTGTTGTTGTGTATTTGTTTAAAACTTCCTGATGATTTGGATTCGTCATTTTTTACAATATTTTTTAAGGATTTTTGGGGCATTGGATTTTTAAGGCATTCTTGAGGACCCCCTGAAGTGCAGAAGTCGATATTCTTCTAATTTCAAAAGTTTCGAAGATGTTTTATAGAATTCGTGAATGCTCCTCCAACCCTAAATTCATAGATTTGTACAGATTGTTCAATACTTGTACAATACAGAATTTTTAAATCAAAACCGCAAAGAAGAAGTCTTAAATGCTTCTGTAAATCATCTTCGATATTTGTAGTAATGAATAGTTTTCATTCGTTGACAGAAAGATTTTTCCAATACTTCCTCTTTGGTGTTTTTTTTTACAGAATTTTTTAAAATACTCCATCAATTCAAAAATACTCAATAAATTTTAAAACAAGTGGATTTTTTTAAGAACTCACCTTACGCACCAAGAATTTGGATATTCGCACTATAAGACTACTAAAAGGTACTAAAAATTGAATCTACAGCATTGTTCAAACCAATCGAGCTAGAATTCTGAAATACGAAATCAAGGTTCCTTATGGGGGTGCAGGATAGTATAGATTGATTGAGTGATTCTATCTCTCTATCTTTATGTTACAAAAAAATACACAAAGACATAATACCCTTACAACTATGTGGTGTAGGGTATACAAATAAAATCTTAAGACTTGTACTAAAAAGTACGAAAAGTATAAAGTGGTATTTAAAATTTAGTATTAGGGTCACATTTTGTGAGGTGAAGTTGAGATTTTAAAAAGTACTTAATGGTATTAAATTTGGAATTTGGATAGGGAATAGAGCTGGAAATTTGGAATCGGGGTTTTTGGAGTTTTTTTTCTAAATTCTAATAATAAGTATACTAAAAGTGGTGGTAATTTTGCAAATGACAATTATAATTTTTCGAAAAGTACTAAATGGTACTAATTTTGGATTACTGTTGGTGTCTAGGATGGGGAGATGTACATTGGTTTTGATATGCCTACTAAATGTTACTAAATTTGGTATAGATTGTAGGGATAAATTTTAAATTCTGAAATTTTATATTGATGTCATATTGAGGTTTCTAAGGTTTACATGTGGATACGAAAAATTATATATAGGTCCATTGTGCAATGGTTTCACTTATATCCTCCTCGGTAAACTTTAAAATGAAAGTTTTTAAGACTTTTTGGTGTAGGAGGAAAACATTTAGCTATTATTCCTTTCCAAAAAAGAAAAACTTAAAAAAAATTAAAAACCTTGAAATTTTGAAAATTTTTAATACGTATTTTATAAAGTAAAAAATATACAAAGCTTTCTTTTCGCCTTCTAATTATAGGTGCTTTAAATCTATAATACACATTCAAAAACAATCATGGATGGTATGATTTATTTTTCATAAATTCTCCATATAAACGTTTATTTGTTATGGGGAGCTCTACTAAATATACAAAGTGGTGTATGGCATCATAAATTCGGCCCCGCCCGACTTTAAGCCTTTCTTTACAGTTTCAATAATACTCCTATGTCAGAAAATAAAATAACCTTATGGTATTAAGTATTTTGACGAATATAGCTACATCTTTAAACGGAAAAGTTTTAGATCTGGTATTTTATGTGCCTAATAGATACCAACAATTGTAGCTATCCCAATCATCCCCATATATTAACATTTTCCAATAGATCCAATACCAAATGCCGATTTTAGATATTTCGTTAGTCACATTTCAACGGAAATGTTCAAAAATTAGATAATTTGAAGTTGTTAAAAATTAAACCTGTAGCAGAACATGTCCACGTTTTCCTATAGCTCCTATATAAAGGTACTTTTCTATATTCGGTCTTTCATTTTCAACATAATTTTTTGAATATTACATGTTGCTCGAATTTTGATCCAAGACAGATGATGACATATTAAAAGAACTAGTAAAAACAAATAAAACAGCTGTAAGTTTGGCAATTTCCAAAAAAAAAAAAACGTTAAAAACTCTGTTAAAATCTTAAAAATACCGAATGCTTATACGACGACGTGGGCCTGCATAGGCAACTTTTGTCATAAATTATTACAATATTTAAATGCGAAACTTGAAGAAAAATCTGTTTATAATGTAGCTAAAATCGTCAAAATACCGAATATGGGGGGTACCGTTATATGGGGGCTATACGAAGACGTGGACCTGCACAGACAATTTTCTGGCATGGGCTGAAGTATCCATTACGAACTTCACATGCGAAATTTGAAACAATCCCTGTAAATAATGTCGCTAAAATCATTAAAATACCGAATATTGGGGGTACCGTTATATGGGGGCTATATGCAGACGTGGACCTACATGGCACATTTTTTGACTTTGGATGAAGTATCCATTACGAACTTCAAATACCAAATTTGAAACGATTCCGGTAAACAATGTCGCTAAAATCATCAAAATACCGAATATCGGGGGGTACCGTTATATGGGGGCTATATGAAGACGTGGACCTGCACAGATAATTTTCTGTCTTAGGCTGTAGTATCTATTACGAACTTCAAATACCAAAATTGAAATAATTCCGGTGAATAATGTCGCTAAAATCATCAAAATACCGAATATCGGGAGGTACCGATATATGGAGGCTGTATGATAGCTTGGACCTACATGGTCCATTTACGAACTTAACCTGCCTACTGGAAAAATATACATGTGTGCAAAATTTTAGCCTTCTATCTCAATTTGTTCGAAAGATAGCGTGATAACAACAGACAGACAGACGAACAGACAGACAGACACACAGACAGACAGACGGACATGGCTAAATCGTCTTAGAATTTTACGCTGATCAAGAATATATATACTTTATTGGGT